GAATATTGAAGTACTACGCGCGGCTTCAGCATTTCTTTCCACCTGAATATTTCCGCACACTGGATCGCATGAGTTTTGAGTAGTCAACTTTTTTCAAAAAGCAACTTTAAAAGCTTACCCAATTTTTTATATCGGTAATATAAACGCGCATCGCAACACCTGCGATATTGTTGTTGTTCCACCTGCCGCGATCCTTTTCCCGAGTTCCATTTGTACTTGTCACACAGTGTCAAAAACACGTAGAGATGAAATTTCTGCCACGTTCTTCGTTCCATTGCGACCGGACATCCGTTTTAATTTCATCTCGAGCCTTTGGTTTTCTCTTCCTTTTTTATTTATTTCCTCAATTTCGATCGTTCTCTTTCGAACGGAGATAGAAGTGCAAAAGTTGTTTGCTAGGTTCGACGTCGACGTACGTGATTTTTAGAAAAAGCGACAAATAATACAAGAATTGTAGAACGTATTGTATTCTCCAAAATTATTTTTTATTTAAAACAATGATTTTCTTCGAATATTATAATAGTACTTATGCAGTTTTTATCGGTAACATAAACGATAAAATCGTCTAACGAAAATGATTTGTCATTATCGGCCGTTATAAGCGCATTATTCAGAAGTGAATTACGCATCGTCTTTGGATTTGCAACATGTATTCTGCGTGCCATAATATGTAATTTCGTGACAATTTCTCGTTTTCCTCTAGAATGAGCATCATGATCGATACAATCTCGATGATGACACGGTCCAGTGGTCACACTGTATACGAAATTGTCTCAACGACAATGTGTAGTATTAGGCCTTATCCGCTTGACGAGTTGGCATTTCGTTCCAGGTCACCGATTTGATCCGTGCTTAATGACAATATTTTTGAAGAGACATTTTCGAGGAGCCCATTATATCATGACAAATCTCTTTATAACTAAATATGACTATACAATACGTTAAATGAAAAAAATTATTGAATGATGACAATAGAAATTATTTATTAATTTTTTTTTGAATATTTCATAGTCAATATATCATTATATATAATTATATTTAAAATATAAAATATTTATAAAAAATGGAAGAATATTCTATTGTTTTACACGTGATATTTTTGATTTGCGCTTATACTAGAACTCCACTTTGTTTATATCATTGCTATTTTTGCCGGATAGTTACGACAAAAGACAATACATTTTTTTACTTTATTCCTCGTGGCCGCTGCGCTTTTTCAATTTTCTCATTGCGAGGATTTCCATTTAGTCATTTCGTGCGCGACGTCATCATTAAACTTACTTTTCTTCTGCAAACTGGGGAACGGCACAGCCGGCGGGAGACGGATATTGAAATCGCCATATTTTCGTTCGAAAAAGTTCGAATGCGAATATATATCTTTCGCGAGGAGAAAAGTCATCCGTCCGTAAGACGGCGAGTTCCGGAAATAATACGGCGCTGTATAAAAACTTCGAATTTTTGGAGCGTTGTCAGTAATATCCCGTGAAAGACTTCACGCATATTAAAACTTATTCATATCTGAATATAATATCGTATCGTGTATATGTATATTCTTATAATATAGCAGTAGTACGACGACTGAGACTTTATATACCCCATATACAGAACGTGTTTGCCTTTTTCCTTTACACGAGAGACGTCAATAACGCATACAGGCCATAAAACATTTTTACTGCACCAATGAAATCCGTACTCGAAGTAAAAATTTTCGCTTTGTTTTGCGTCGCGCAATTTCGATCTCGCGATAAATCACGATTAAACATAGCGTCCTTCGATACGAGATTCCTTCCATTTTTTGAAATACCAAACGACACAGTCGCGAAATCGTCGAGAGATTCATAAAAGATTTCTCTTGCTTTGAAAGTCGGAAAAAAAGAGCTGAAAGGGCTCGCGCACATAACGGTCATAAATTATGGTTTATGAGTTACATCCCGGCGTTCCCCTTTTGTTTTTGATTAACGTTTTAAAATGCGCAACGCGCGCATCGCTTCGCAAATTGCCGTCCGAAAGGATCAACCGGGAAGTACGCCAAGCAGGCCAAGTCCATAAAATTGGACATAAAGAACGTGCCCAGCGCGAAGAATGTAAATTCGATTTGGAGAATCGTACTCCCATTGTCGACACGGCCGTATCGCACTGCCATGTATACTATGTGGTATGTTTATTCGAACACAATATTTACGTGTCGCCGGTCTTTGAGAGAACAGTACAATGGTCCAAAGGATTGACCGCATGACGTGTCCGCAACGTGAATAAACCCACTCGCGCCTCCAACCAGAATTAATTTGTCCTTTGCCATAATGTTCGCTAGACGTGCCGTGCATAATTCATCGGATCTTATGACTTGGTTGATCTAAAATCATATATATATTAGCCACTTATTTTGAATATATATATATATATATGCATAAAATCCGTTTTGGAAAGATCGAAACTTTCAATGTAATTCTTGTATGTATATATATATATATATATATATATATATATATATATGTGTGTGTGTGTGTG